TGTCATCTAGTTTGGCCCTCACTAACAGATAAGAGGCTTAGAAACTCTCCTAAAGCCCTGCTGGTGTGGCTCAGTGGTTGAGCATCGACCAAAGAACCAGGATGTCGCACTTCAATTCCTGGTCAGGGCACATGCCTGGCTTGTGGACTCGGCCCCCAGTAGGGGAGTGCAGGAGGCAGCCAATCAATGATTCTCTCTCATCATTAATGTTTCTCTCTCTCTTTCTCCCTCTCCCTTCCTCTCTGAAATCAATAAAAATATTATTTAAAAAGTTTCTTACGAAGTGACCTTGAAGAGTCTACTAATACTGTAAGTGGAAGTGAGCTTCAATTCTACTCTATGAGCATTGTCAGCCATGTTACAAGGTAAAACAATGATAGTCTAGTTTGATTTGATGAGAAGTAACTTAAAAATACTGTAAATTATCAAGAATACTACTTGGAGCCGAAACCGGTTTGGCTCAGTGGATAGAGCATCGGCTTGCGGACTGAAAGGTCCCAGGTTCGATTCCGGTCAAGGGCATGTACCTGCGTTGCGGGCACATCCCCAGTAGGAGATGTGCAGGAGGCAGCTGATCGATGTTCCTCTCTCATCGATGTTTCTAACTCTCTATCTCTCTCCCTTCCTCTCTGTAAAAAATCAATAAAATATATTTTAAAAAATTATTTAAAAAAGAATACTAGTTGGAAAATATATGTACCTTTACTGTCACTAATAATGACTTTTGCCTAAGTAAATATCACGTCTTGAGTTGGAGACCAGGCTTAGAACGGAGCCAACACCTTTAGCAGGACATTTAAAAACTAAGCATTCAGAACACAAACAAACCTTGACACTTTAATAAATGTCAGGAATTTAGTCATCAATGGTGAGAAGCTGGTTCAAGGTTTCTGACTGAGGACAAAAGACTTGCTGGCAGTACCAGGGGCCACCCGGCGCTCTGCAGAGCCCCTTGTGTAAAACTGTCCTGAATTTTAGACGTGCTAGTCTAGCTAACCTCCCATCTAAATGGCAAGTTGCCTCAACATTTCAACCTGGTGAGTTTAGAAAAACAAAATACCATTTCCACAAATGGATGAGAGAGTTTGCTCCAGGGGGCAGTGAATAATTCATGCGGCTCTAAAAGCACTGTGACTGATAGGCAATTTTTTAAAAAGAAGAAAGATGCAGCGATCTCACGTCTGGGTAAGTATCCAACAGAACTGAGAGCAGGGCCTCAAAGATGTATTCCCGCGTTCTTAGTAGCATTAGTCACAATAGCCAAGAGGGAAAGCAAACCAAATGCCCACGAATGGATGACGAATAGGTAAACAAAATGTGCTCGAGCCAACAATGGAATATTACCCAGCTTTAAAGGAAGGAATTCCTGTCACGTGCTACACCATGGATGAGCCCTGAGGACACTGTGCAAAGGGAATAAGCCAGTCACAAAAGGCAAACACTATCGATTCCACTTGTGAGGTTCCTAGAGAAGCCAGACTTGCGGGAGCAGGAGGTGGGTGGTGGCTGCTGGGAGATGGGGCAGGGGCAGGGGACTTGTTCCCTGGGTGCAGCACCTCAGAGCTGCAGGATGAGAATGTTCTGAGACCTATTCCCAACTGTACCTTTAAAAGTGGTTAAGGTGATAAATTTTATGCTATGTGTCTTAGCCCAATTTCTTATAAAAGACAAACACCTCCTAATTTCGCATTCTAGAAATAGACTTTACAGTCTGTAATTAACAGCACCCTGGTAGCAAACCTGGCATCTCCCCACCAGTACCTCAGGCGGCTCACCGCCCTCATTCCAAGATGAGTAGTTATTACCTACCTGCTCTGCCACCCTCTGCCTGCCCACCCCAGATAGCAAGCCTCGCCTCCGTCTCTCCCTCCCTGTCCCCACTCCCCTTTCCTTCCTCTTCATCCCTCCCTCCTTCCTCCCTTCTTACCTAGCTGCTTTCCTACAAATAATCACATGTTAAAGAACTTCCACTTTTATTCCCTCATTTAGTTTTCACGCCAGCCCTGTAAGGTAGGTGTTCTTTCCACTTTACGAATTAAGACACAGAGACGCAGCATTAAGCATCGGTGCCAGTCGCCTGACCAGTAAGTGGCAGAACCCAGCTCCAAATGCCCCCTCCCCCTATTCTACCGTCCTGGACAGTGTTCTTACATTGCTGTGTGCACAACACTCCCCTGAGGAACACGCGGGTTCCTGGGCCCCACCCCGGGGACTGGTCTAGGGGCTGGAGTCTGGAATTTTAACCACCACCTGCCCAGGTGCCTCTGAAGTAGATGACTGGTAAGCGCGCTCCTGAAACGCGCAGGCCACGGAGCCAGCCACCACACCTGGCACGTGCGGGGCATGTGCACCCCGGATGCTGGCTGCGGATTTGAGCTTCCCTCAGGAGCAGTGCAGTGACCCCGATATTCTACAAGGAGCTGGCTGCACCAACACGGGTCCTTAGCTGGCAGCAAGCAGTTCTGAAGGCGGGAGGGGGAGGACAGCAGGAAGGAGAGAGACCTACCCGCACTCGGCTCCACGGAACGGTCCTGCCCGTGACCGTCGCACAGCCTGCCCGCTCGACATTCTTTCTGTCCCTCAGCGTTTGCCACTTGGACGTTGGGTGCACGCAAAGGGGACTAAATGGCACTGCTCCTGGAGGAGGGAGAAGACTGAAGCTGGGCCAGACAGAGGAGCACAGGAGGGAAGCACCTGACCCAGTGAGTCGCTGGCAAAGCCGGGTGGAGGCGAGGGTCTCCAGGCTGAGCCCTGCAGCTCCCTGCCCAGAGGTGTGGGAGCCAGCTGTCCTTCCCAAGGCCCAGAGCCGGGGCAGAGCGGGCTCTGCAGAAACCGGGTCACACGGATATGAGAACTCTGCACCAAGCGACCTCCTGCCAGGCCAGGGCCACGCTGCCTTAGACTGGATCTTGAGGGCTGAGTAGGTGAATGAGGGACAAAATCTGAACCGAAGTGGTCTGAGTACAAAGAAAAATGTTCCCTGTGCAAATATGCTACCTTTATTCTGCAACTAGGAGATAAAGTGAAATTTCTATGGACGGCTGTGTTGTACTTTTTTGATGGCCTTTAAAAAAACAACGAATTTTTGCTAAAGATGAAAAATTAATCATATTCCATAAAGCTAACCCTTGTGACTCCTTCCTGAGACTGGGCGTGAAGTCTGACATCAGCCAGAACTTCTGAAGAGTTCTAGGAGGAGGCCTGGGGGCACCAATCCTGAGACAGCCTGGAAGAACATGACGTCACCATTCTCCTGATCCAACTGATTACTGGATTTCTCCCCAGAGTGTGTCACTAGCTCCTCAACCCCACGACGTCCACACCAAACATCACTTTGCCTACCAACCCGCCTGGCTTCTTGGGTTTCTTACTGAGTAAATGACACTACCATCCACCCTCTGTCCAAGCAGAGACCTGGGGCTCATCCTTGATTTTCCCATCCACCTAGTCTTGACCCTTCACGTCTACTTTCTGTGCTATTTACAAATAATCTTTCTTTCTCTATGAGCTTCAAAAAAAGGTCCAAACTCTAACACTAACACCCCAACTGTACGGCTAACCTAATATCCTTAACGACACAGCTCCTGTTCACCATTCCAATTTCATCTCTCTCACACGACTTTCAAATCTCACACACACCAGACACGAGAAGTACTTTCAGTTCCTAGACCGCTCCATGACACATGCTTCATGACACGTCTGGGGGTTCTGTGCTTGCGGGTCCCCGGCTGACATGCCCTGCGCCCGGCCACCACTTAGGTGATGGCTGGTGTTCAGTCCGGTGCTACCGGTTCTGGAAGCCCTCTACTCACAACAGTCTTTCGTCTCCCAGTGAGCTCCCGCCAGGCTGTCAGCTGCCCTCGTAGGTGCGTCCACAGCCCCTGAATGTGCCCCTCGGAATGCGGCTGCTGGCTGACCTGCAGGTCCCCTCACCGAACTGTGACTGCAACACCAGCTCCGACACATGACCCAGTAGTACTCAGTGACTTCTCCCTGAATGAAAGAACAGTGAGAGTCTCGGACACTAGCAGATCACAGGCAACATGAAATGCTTATATGTACCTACACACATGTAGTGGTGCAGCATCTTTAACTAGAGGGGTGTGTGTGTGCGTGTGTGTGTGTGTGTGTGTGTGTGTGTGTGTAGCACATACAGGCTATGGGAGATTATTAATTTTCCTGACGTGATTTTCCCTTTGCCTGTAGTCCTGCGCCGATTCCGCTGTGACTCCTTGTGCTCGGTAACTGTACCCTGCCCTTTCACAGCCGCCCCTCCCGCACAGCATGCGATCTCTCCGTGCTCCCACCCAGCATCAGCGCCATACGCTCACAACAGGTAGTCTGAAGAGGTGCGCATTCTAAAGACGGGGAGATAATTGCCACTTCCTTACATGAGCGAATTCCATTCAGTCTTCTTTTCTCTGGATTCAATTATCTCAGCTCCTTTAGCTCTTCCGCAAGTGGTGACGCACCCTGGATCAGCACATTTACATTTTTACACTACTAGTAAGTTATCATCATCTCAAATGAGATCCGTAATTGGCATTCATTAGGAATTGATTATTAATATTCACTTTCATACCTCGCTTCCACATTCAGATTGCTGGAGTGCTTCGTGTGGTTCTAAAAAGGAGCTTTCATCACGATGCTACTCAGTTTCCATTTGTGGTCACGCTGCTCCCTCCCCAGACCCTTACATGCCAAACCTACGGTCATTCCAGGCATTTCCCATTTTGTCAGCTTAACTCATTGGAAGGTAACCTAGATTTTATTGCAGAAAATTAACAACCATCCATGGATAATGTTAAAGTGTTTTAAGAATAGTTTTTAAATAATTAGCAATTTGTCATCCCACAATGCAAGACATACCAAATAAACTTGTTTTAAATTGTTATGATCATCTTTTAAAAAATAGAATATCTCCAAATAGTTGTCATGAGAAATTGACTAGCATATTAAAGAATTGTAAGATATAATGTGAAATGAACAAAGATAAGCAATTTTTAAAAATTATCCTTTCAATTAGAAAGTAAGCCTTCATAGTGTTTAATTTTCATCTATCACCATCATGGTTATGTAGTCCCTGTAATGAATGAAATTCGATTCTGGGCCAATTGCAGCAGACAGCATTTCTTCCATTTCCTCCTGAGAAAAGGGCTCACCTGGCAGGAACAAGAAGGGAAACTCATCATTCACAACCCTCTGGTGCGTTTCTTTCTCTTTCCACTGCCAGCTTCCCTGCCACGGGACCCCATCAGCCCCGTCGTGTTGCTCTCCCTGGGGCCGAGAGCCACCCGCCAGGACAGTCCAGGGGCCCAGAGAGCATGCTGCTGCACCCCGGGCAGGGTTGGGACTTACTTTACCTTGCAGATGTCATAGCTCAAGCAACCTTGGAATCTATCATTCCAGTCAAAATAGCAGAGGCCATCACGACATCATGAATAAGGCTGTTTATTTACTTAAATTAAAACTATTGAAATTGCCCAAGGAGTAACCTGAAGTCCCGGTTTCATAGGGAGGCTAATTTCTATGGTTAGTGAGAGTGTGAAGAGAGGATTCAATGGTTGCTTTACAAACTGCTGAAGAGCAGATGACGGAGACTTGGAACTGTAACAATTATATCTCTGAATATCCCCTAACCAGGTCTGGCCAACGCGGTGATGGCAGGTGCCCCAGTGGCAGATGCCATCCAGCAGGCGCTCAAAGCACTCCTTTCTGTTTCTCACAGTTTTGTCCAGTGTTGCTGTCAAAGGAAACCAGAAGGTGGAGAGAGAATCTGTGGGCTTTAGTCAGATTCAGGTAACAGCTGAGGGCTGAGGGCTGAGGGCTGAGGGCCATCTTGGATATTGGTTTTAACAAGATGAGAAGCCAACTCAGGAAGAATGTTGGAAAGGCTGTCGACTGTTTAAGAAAAGCTTTGTCCTGATCTTAAACAAAAATACAGAAATATCCAAACTGTCACCTTACCTGTAGAGTCTTATGCAAGCAGGTAAGTCACCTAGGCCTGGGGATCACCTGCCTTCTGAGCTTAAGTCACCTGCCTCTACAAACAATGCTTTCTAAATTGGAATTCATTTAATAATCCAGGAATTATTCAAGTGGGGATTTTGATGATAATGATGATGGTGTTATCAAACAAAGGGAATGTACTGAGTTCTTTTGAAATCATACTTACATCCATAAGAAAAAAAGAATACCTGCCCTGGCCAGTGTTGCTCGGTGGTTAGAGCAAGGGCCCGCGCACGCAAGGGTTTGATTCCCTGTCAAGGGCACCTACCTGGGTTACAGGTTCGATCCCCAGCCCCAAGAGCAACCAATTGATGTGTCTCTCTCACATCAAAGTTTCTCTCTCTTTCTCTCCTACTCCCTTCCTCCCTTCTACTCTCTCTAAAAATCAATGGATGAAATATTCTCAGATGAGTATTAACAAAAAAAGAAAGAAAGACTACCTGAAATGCTTAAAAGGACAAATTCTGAATCTTATGCCTGATTGTTAAATACTAAATATGCTACCAATAAACTTTGATGGGCACAATAAGTCCTTAAAAGAATACTAATAGACGAGAACTACGTGTGCTAGTCTTTCCTACGCAAAATTACTTGTATTTTTTATTTTGTATCATGTGATGAGAAACTCTGAATCAGGATTCAATCTGTGAACCAGTAAATTGAGCAAAGGAGATAGAACTCTAACAACTTTGCATGGGAAAAGGGGAGATGACCAATATGAGAATAGCCAAGAGAATGCCCATTAGGCTACTGACATTCAGAAAAAACAAATTGACATACCAGCCTAAGCAAAGAGAATTCCTACAGGAAATGTGTTGGCTTATGTGGTGTAGAGATATTATGTATAAGTCTGTGTGTGTGTGTGTGTGTGTGTGTACAGTTCAAGTTCAAAGCAAGAATCTTTGGTTCCATGAGCATAAAAAACTGAAAATTTTCAATAGTTCATGTTTTCTAGGTGGCATACCTTTTATTCTGGGAATACTCTAAGTGAATGGAAAGCCTTCAATTTATAGAAGTATCATTATACTTTAATGAAGTCCTATAAAGGCAAAAATCCATCTCCCCTTACTACATACCCTTTTCCTCTTACCTACTACTAAACAGAAACCATCCCAATACCAAAATAATAGGAATAGTAAATAACTTTTTAACCAGAATGACTGATTTTAAAGTATCCCCTAGAATTTTTGCATAATTGTTAACCACTTAAATAAGTCACTGTTACAAGATATGTATTAAATAATTCTTACCTTCTTCAGTCATATACTTGATCAGTTCTTCCTTAGAAAGAAATCCACGTTTAGTTGGATCTAATACCTAGAAGACAGAAATTAAATTTTTTATTTGATGAATAAATTCTACATGATGAATTTTTCATATATATATATATATATATAAAAATCTGGAGCTTACATACCTCAAAAGCTTGAAGAAGGATTTCTTCTGGAATTGGTCTGTATCTAAGTTATGCAAAAAAAAGATGTAAATACCACAGTATTTAGCTCAGGCTCTACATAATAAATGATCACATAAAATAAAACAAACACTGCTAACATACTAGAAAAATAATGCTTCCTTCACTGAACTCTTTTTTGGTTTCTAGATATGAAAGTTGGAAGCATTCCACATCCACGGGAAATAGTTCAAAATCACTGGCATGTTTAATGTTACCTATTAATTTTTTTATCATCATAGAAATCAATTTATCTTGGAACAAAATTTTTTTAAATATATTTTATTGATTTTTTTACAGAGAGGAAGGGAGAGGGATAGAGAGTTAGAAACATCGATGAGAGAGAAACATCAATCAGCTGCCTCCTGCACACTCCCTACTGGGGATGTGCCCGCAACCAAGGTACATGCCCTTGGCTGGAATCGAACCTTGGACCTTTCAGTCCGCAGGCCGACGCTCTATCCACTGAGCCAAACCGGTTGGGGCAGAACAAAATTTTTATAATAAACCAAATATACTAAGATAATGCTACTTTTTCTCAAGAAAAATAATTAGGGTTAATTCTTATTTATCATTGATAATTCAAAATAATAAGAATGTTGTTGACTTATGCTTTTTGTAGCTTATTTGCCCTTTAATTACACTTTGATTATTAGATTAATACTGAAGTGATTGATATTTTTAAATAAATACCAACTAGCAGAGTATAGTGAAAAGTTAGAAGAAAGCAATCCTGGGAAAATACTGGGTGATGATAATATATGAAGTGAAAAAAAAACCAATTTGCAATTACTGTAATTATAGTCATTACTTTACCATTGCACTTACTTCCTTACCTTTTCTCCACTAGTATATTGGTCATCACTGGAAGAAATTTTTCAAATCGAATGTACCCAGTGGGTTCTTCTTCCTCTACCTAAACATTCAATAAAAAAGTCACTTATTCATTCAACAAAAACATTGAGCAGCTACTTTTCCCAAGCACTGTGCCAAGTGTTGGGGATTTGATAACGAGCATCCTTGGGCATAGTCCCTACTCCCAGAGTTTATATTCTGGTAGTGGGGACGTATATTAACCAAAAAACAACACAGCTGAGTGTCTAATTATAAGTTTATGTATGAACAATGAAGTCAAGGGGCATGAGCCTATTAGAGCACAGAACAAAGGAAACTTTTCTTAGCCAGGAGACCAGGAAAGGCATTCATGAGGAAATCACCCTGGAGCTGATGAGTAAAGGGTGAGTAGAAAGTCATCAAAGACTGCAGTGAAGAGACTCCCAGGAAGAGGAAATTACATGCACTAAGACCTGTGTGATGTGACGCCTTGGAGGCCAGGAGGCTGAAGCTAGGGAGTGAGGAGAATGTTTCCAGATGAGACTGCAGAGACAGGGATCAGACCTTGCAGGGCGTTACTGTCTATGAAAGTGACTTCGGTTGTTATCCTAAGGCCAATGAGAAATCACTGACGTATGTCTGAAAGATACACTGGTTGTGGGTAAGGTGGCGTCTGTAGCAATAAATCTAAGGGTTTGGGTTAGACTGGTAGCCATGGAGAGAGAAGTAGATGGTATCAAAAACTACTCCAGAAGTAAAATCAATAGGACCTGGTGGGCAAGGATGAGGAAACAAGAGAAGAGTCGAGGACAACTCATAGGATTCTAACTTGCACAAATGGGATGGATTGATGTTTCCCCTGAGAGAAGGAACACTGCATAAGGGGCCAGGTTAGGGGACCAATCATGATCTCAATGACCATGTATTGAGTCACTGTAAAATAACTATTAAACACCTAGATGGTCGCCCTCGCTGGTGTGGCTCAGTGGATGGAGCATCAGCCTGCAGACTGAATGGTCCCAGGTTCGATTCCAGTCAAGGGCACATGCCTGGGTTGTGGGCTCGATCCCCAGTGAGGGGCGGAGGGTGTGCAGGAGGCAGCCAATCAATGATTATCATCATTGGTGTTTCTATCTCTCTATTCCTCTCCCTTCCTCTCTGAAATCAATAAAAAAATATATATTAAAAAAAATACCTAGATGGTCAACAGAACTTTGTTCTACCGATACTAGTTAGGAGAACACTACACCTGGAAAGTGAGTGTTTGGTACCCAGTGCTGTTAGATGAGAATGAGAAAGACTCTTGCCCTTAGGTTCAACTGTGATGGTGGCTGAACAAAACACCATCGATCTTAACTTTCATGTCAGGCTATTTACCAGGAGCTGTAAATTTTCCACTGCCTTTCAAAAATCCTATTAAAAGGCTCATAAATCCCAACTCAACAGAAGAGCTTTTAACAGATTTATTCTTTGAACAAAAATAAGAAATCTATAGGCTGCTGCTACATGGAACACACTGTCTTCCGAATGACCACTATTTGTTTAATGTTTATACTAGATCCTCGCCTAGTATGAGTGGAGTCCTTAGATTCCACTATTGGCAGAATATGTCTTCCGTCTAATGACGGAATGAGGTGTTTCTAAGCCCATCATACATGGCCAATTGTCTTCAGCTGCCTCTAGGTCCAAGGCGAGCGTTTTGCAAATGAATGTCCACATGGCCCTGATGTGCTTGAATGGGTCACACCCTGATTCCCAAACCCAGGAGCTTCTTAAAAATAAAACATCCATCTCAAGAGACTACCTTTGGAGGGATAATTTTTAAAGTAAAATATTGAGTTGCTATTCTGGTTCCTCAAGAAATCTACTCCTTGCCCTAACCAGTTTGGCTCAGTGGATGGAGCGTCGGCCTGTGGACTGAAGGGTCCCAGGTTCGAGTCCGGTGAAGGGCATGTACCTTGGTTGCGGGCACATCCCCAGTAGGGAGTGTGCAAGAGGCAGCTGATGGATGTTTCTCTCTCATCGATGTTTCTAACTCTCTATCCCTCTCCCTTCCTCTCTTGAAAATATCAATAAAATATATATTTTTTTAAAAAGAAATCTACTCCAGAGCAATGGTTTGCTTTCCTTCCCTCCACCCCCAACAAACCACTGTAGAGCAAATAGTCTCAACTGTGAAAGAGAGACCCCACTTTATTTCACGAGCATCCTCACCAATCGACAAACCGTTTGTAGTTTTTCCAGATGGAGTTCAGCTCTACAGCACACCCTCCACTACATGAGAATTCACAAACACATGACATTAGCTAACAAAGCCCCACTTGCACCCACTCCAGCTTCCATACCACCTCCAGGAGCCCTTGGTGCTCTGAACACTGAACACTAGGGTGAAAATTCTGCGGTTCATTCTGGCCTGACAGATCAGTGTGGAGCCAACGTTGCACAAAAATAATAAGTGAAAGCAGATCTCCAACCAATCAGGATAGCAGAAGAGGCATAAATTTTCTTTGGCTTTTTAAACAGAGGGATAATGAATAAAAGCCATGTAGCTCAAAATGAAGGAAAAGTAAGTTCATCTTCAACTTGGGCAGATTGTGAGAATCTGTCTATGACCCAACACTGTCCCCTGGAGGCCACATCTTACCCATTTTTTATACAAAAAGATCCATGAGCAATGGCATAAAACAGATATATGATGACTCTAAATTCACTAAAATAGACTGTTTTATATATCAAACACTATTTTATATTATAAAAGGTTCAAATAAGCCTTTTAGTTTTAGATTTACAGAAAAGAGATATAGATTTCCCATATTCCTCCCACCCAGTTTCCCCTATTGTCAACCCTTGCATTACTATAGTACATATTGGTTCATTGTCACAGCTAATGAACCAATATTGATACACAATTATTCACTAAACTCCATGCTTTATTTGGATTCCATTAGTTTATCTAAAAGGCATTTTAAAGAGATGGTCTATTCCTTTATCATAGGAGAGAAACAAGGAGCAAAGTAGAGTAGCCCTTCTGAGAATCTAGAAGCAGGTGTGAGATATGGGAGGCTAAGACAGGTTCTATTACTTCTGGTGCATAATAGCTAATTTATGAGGTCATTAGTAAGATAATATAAATATACTACTTTCTAGATATGTTTGTTATCCAGTGATGGCTCAATGATTATTTAAATGCCATGTATTGCAATGCCTTTAAGATTTAATAGAAATATATCAAATACTGAACCATATATATAAACACACAAATATAATATGTACATATACACATATAGTAAGCATACAGAGATAGTGATAAAGATAGAGAGATGAAGAGTAAGAGGGAGTATTTGGGGTTGAATTGTGTCCTCCCAAAATCCATAGGTTGAAGTTCTATGTAACTGTTTTGGAGATAGGGTACTTGCAGAGGTAATCAAAGTAAAATGAGGTCACTGGAGTAGGGCCTAAACCTCTATGGCTGGCAGCCTTATAAAAAGGGAAAATGTGGACACATAGGCATGTACATAGGAAGAGCACCACGTGAACATAGAGATAGTCATGCACGAGCCAGGGGAAAGGCCTGGAACAGGTCCTCCCCTCATAGCAGCACCAAGCCTGCTGACGCCTTAACTTCAGACTCCTGACCTGGAACTGTGAGAAATATTTACTTACTAACTATGCATGGCACATTTTAATCCAAAGACTCTGAATCACTGTCATCAAGCATAATTCCTTACTCATCTACTGGAGATTAGCAAAGCAGATAGTCAAAATTTAGAATTGATTTTACAGACTTGGTAGAGAAAATGATACATTTCAGACCTACTTTCTCAGCAGAAAACTCAATTAACCAACTTATAATGAAGTCAAGAAAGATTCCCTAACTTACAGCAGACAAGTTTGAAGACTAGGAATTCATTGCCATTTCTTCACTATCAGCAAAGTCATGCTGGGGAAATCACTTCACTTTGATATGGCTTAGAGTCTTTAAAAAATGATGTTGCCTCTTCATAGAAAAATATAACAATGTAGTCATCATGTTAGGCCACAGCTAGTTTAAAATATTCTGATTAAATTCATCCCCAGCTTCATGTCCTTGTTTGTAATTCAGGGAGAACATGGCTGTTGTGAAGGTTTCACGCAATGCCATGAAGGTGCTTTGTCAACCTTGAGATTCTATTACAATCACTAGAGGCCCAGTGCACAAAAATTTGTGCATGGGGCGGGGGGAGGGGTCCCTCAGCCCGGCCTGCGCCCTCTCACAGTCCAGGAGCCCTCAGGGGATGTCCTACTGATGGCTTAGGCCCGCTGCCCACAGGGAGGGGGCCTAAGCCGCACTCTGGCCTCCCTCTGTAGGAGGTGACCAGGCCAATCAGGGGAAGGCACCGCTCCTATCACCCTGCTGCTGCCAGCCGCTGCCATGGCCAGCCTCAGCCCTCACAGCTGCCCTCAGCCCTCGCAGCCGCCATGGCCGCCGCGGCTTTGTCCAGAAGGTCGTTCATCTGTCCGGTCTAATTAGCATTTTATGCTTTTATTATTATAGATTATTTCTGTCAACAGTGAACACACTTTTGGTTCTATTTCATGCAATGACACCTCCTCCTGAAAGAATCAATTTCTGGTGCTAAAATTTCAGACACATCCTCCTTGGCTCACCATACAGACCTAACTGTTTCTGCCTCCCAACCATACAGTGCAGCATGGAATGTGGTGAGAATGTGTTAAATTGCTGGGCATATCTACCAGCCTGTCCCTCGTCCCTGGACCTGTGCCTAGTGGACAGGGTATGTGCATTAGCAATGAGGCCTCCACCTCCACTGTTTCCTTACCTGCCTCGTTGGAATGATACAAGGAGAGTAAAAGGCAGCCACCAAACACATCCCTCCTCTTCAAAAGGCAAAAATAAACAAAGCAAATATATCTTGCTATTGCAAACATGAGGCAAAATCTAGTTTGTTTCACCTAAGAAAAGGCTAATGTGCTGAAAAGGAGTTAATGATGGGAAAGTAATATAGACAGCATTTATGAATGCAAATGTATTAAAACCTCTTTGCAGAAGATCCCCCAGCATAGCCTCCACAAACCATGTAT